CTAATTTTTGATTTATTGTAGAGATGAGGTCTCGACAAGTTGCCCAGGCGGGTCTCGAACTCGCGGGCTCAGGCAATCTACTCACCTCGGGATTACAGGCTGAGCCACCGAGCCCGACTGGGAGAATTTCTTGTCTAGGAGTTCAAGACTAGCCTGAGCAACAAAGTGAAACCTTGTATCTACAAAAAAAATTAAATAAATAAATTAGCCAGGTATGGTAGGGCACACTTGTAGTCCCAGCTACTTGGGATGCTGAGGTGGAAGGATCACTTGAGCCCCGAAGGTTGAGGCTGCCACGCACTATAATTGTCATGATCCTGTCATTGCATTCCATCTTGCGTGACACAGACCTCGACTCAAAAAAAAAATTTATATATATATATTTTTTGTTGAGTAGGGGTCTCACTCTATCGCCTGGGCTAGAGTGCAGTGACAAGCTCATGGCCACCGCAGCCTCAACCTGCTGGGCTCAGGTGATCCTTCTGTCTCAGCCTTCCAAGTAGCTGGAACTACAGACGTAAGCCACCACACCTGGCTAATTTTTTGATTTATTGTCTTGCCAAGTTGCAGCTGGTCTCAAACCCCTGGGCTCAGGCAATCTTCTCACCTCGACCTCTCAAATTGCTGGGGTTACAGGTGTGAGCCACCGCATGCGGCCAAAACGATATAAACTATAAGTGGGGAGGGATCATCTGTATGGATGAGGAAGTGGAAGCATAGAGGTGAAGTCTCCTCTCCTACAATATATCCCTAGGGGTAGCTGGTCCCCCTCAGTCCTCAATCCTCCTGCCTGCCCTCCCACTGCAACTGAACTCCCTTGCAAGGGGCAGGGTCTGAAAAAGTCCCTAGCAGCCTAACTACTGAAGATCTACCTTAAGGATCCTATTGTTTTAATGGTGGGAGGTAAATAGTCAGAACTCTCCCGTTTCTCCTTCTGTTAATGAATTAAAATCTACCCAAATTCAGTTTTTAAAGTTACATAAGCATCATTCAGATCCTCTGTAACCGCCACTTTCATTTTGGAAAAACAGCATTTCCATTAAAATGGTGTTATATAAAAAGGTTTTGTGTATGTGTGTAGGAACAGTAAAACGAGGCCCTCATGAGCACTGTTAGGGCACCCAGGTACACACATATCACAGCCTCACCTGTTCTCGAAGAGGGGGGCCACAGGGAGCAGGTTTCTGATAATACCTGGCGAGTGCATTCGTGACCTCCTTGGCCTCTGACCGCCAGTAAGACCTGATGCATGTTGGGTAATGGGAATTGCAGCAGGAGGGAAGCCCCTTCCTTGGCAGGGTGAGTTCCATGGACTCACAGAGCATCAGGGGCGGAATTTGCTCCGAAGTCACCCAGTGCAATCTCATGCTCTACCACGCTTGCCAGCCTTGTCCTGAAAAGCTCCCGTGGTCCCAAAGCAGCCCATGACACCTGTGGACTGGTGGAAATCACTGGAAAAGCCCTGATATCGAGCTGAGACCTGCCTTTCTGGAGGGAACAAATGTAAAGCCTTCACCTACAACCTTGAGCCTGGACTCAGCAGATGCCACGGCCAGCGGAGGGCTGGCGAGCAGAAGGGCAGCCCGAGTTCACCAAGCTCTTCCCTCAGAGACCTCCATCCCTCCAAACCGAGGCTGAGACTATAAGGTGTGGGTGGGGGAAGGGGGGAGGCAGGGCTAGGTTGGGAGGAGGCGGGGCCGCCTAAAGGGGAATGAGTGGCTTTGAGGGAAGCCCCGCACCTCAGGGCTCATTTGAAGGGTGGAGGTCACGCAGCCTCGGGGTCAGTTCCAGCTCTTACACTCCGGAGTCCTAGATCCGCGCCCCTCCCCTCGTTGATTGTACTTTTAGGACACTCGGTAGGTCCTCGACTCGAGGGCTAAGCAGGAAGTAAGGTAAGTGTCGCGAGCCCCAGCCCCCACCCCTGGCCCGGCCTGGTGAGGCTTCGCGGCTCGCCCCGGTTACCCGACAGGCGAGACCGCCCCACCTTCCCCTACCGAAGCCTCAGAGCCAAGAACCGAGCACCGAGCACGGAAACGTGAGCTATGGAGTGGCCTTTTAAGTAGTTGGGAAGGGGGTGTGGCCGAGGAGACGGGGAGGCCGCAGCCTGGCAAGGGGGCGTGGTCCGGGGGCGTGGCCGTGGCGCCTGGAATGTTGTTGGGTCCTCGCACCGCATAGTAAGGAGGGGCCACGCCCCCTTTCTCCAAGAGGGCCAATCGGAGCGCCGGAGCGGTTTCAAGTCTCCCCCGCCAGCCTGCCCGCCCGCCGCCCCACCCCCCTCGGGGATTCGCTTTTTCCGTGACAAAATAGCGAAGCTCCGGACTGTCCGCAGCCCGGCCGCTTACAGGTGGAGGGGCTGGGGGCCTAGGACGCTGCCCCGGAGCGGAAAGCGCCGGTTGCCCGCGAAGAGGCCGGGTCGAGGGCCGGGAGGCGCGCGGGGGTGGGCGCTGCAGCCGCGGGTTGTTTATCTGGAGTACGGAGGGGAGGGGGGAGCCTGGAAACCGCCCCGTGTCCCATTTCCTCCTCTTGTTTTCGCTCCGGATTCTCCATGTTGGACCCAAACTGAGGAGCCCGGAGCTGCCGCCGGGGGATCGGGGCCGGGGGCACCCGGGGG